ATTATTATTATCATTATTATTATCATTATTATTATTATTATTATTATTATTATTATCATTACTATTATTATTATTATTAGCAGTAGTAGAATTTTTACCATTATTATTATTATCATTATTATAACAACAATAATTGAAATGAAACAAATAAAAGTTCAAAATTTCAACAAATCTCTCCAAAATGAAATAAGTTTAAAGGTATTCGTAATATGCACCATTTCTCTTTGCTTGCAATGTTCGCATTTGTGGCATTCGTTTATGCATCACGTACAGAAACCATCACGTTCAATTTCAACCTGTAAAGCGACTTCAACTAAATAAATTGATGCATAAATATGCATTGCTTATAAGTAATATACATAATTCTCTTATAATATGTTCTGTAAGAATCGTATTTTGTAACCAAAAAAATGGTTCAGAATCTTCCAATGATGCACCAAAATGTCAGCCTTAGTATCATCAACGATGCTGCGTCGTATTGTTGTCGGTGTCGTCATCGTTTCAAATGACATTAAAATTCTCTTCGCTCGGCACAATCAAACTGCGAACATCATCATCCAACTTACCATTACTGTCGGTTTTTGCTTTAAATGCTTGTCATTCGGTGTTACTGTTGAGCAATATTTCGATAATTCATTGATTTTCGTCTCTTCTTGTCGAAACACGACAAACCGTTTCATTTTCAGGTAAGAACACCAACACCAACAACAATGATGATGATGGTTACGATGAACAACAAATGAATCATTTCGTGGGACATTAGAACAAAGTCTTTCGTTTCGTCATATTTAGTATTTAATTTTGCACGTTCTTTACAAACAACATCTGAATACATAATATCAATTGCATTTTCTGAATAATCCCAACAATACATAATACCATCTCCATTCATTCATGTACTCATAAGAAAATTTGTGCAAATTTGGCTCAACTTTGCTTTCATCATTCCTCCAACTTATAATGCAGCAATAATCACCCATCTCCACCCCAGTGCCGGTATCTTTCTTCACATTCATATTATCTCTGCTCTTGCACTTATCAATACTGAACCAGATGATATTTGACAATCAAGGAACGAATGAAGGAATAAATGAATGAAAATGTTGATGCCTTATTGCGCCGGATTTCTAGATGAGCAAAAAATCCCCTAATTCTCTTTTCAATCGAATATATTGCGTTGGTTGTTTGGAAGCACTGTGTAGCTACGAAAAAATTAAACATTTCAATCGGTTCCGTAAAAAGAACATTTTGAAATGATGCTCTTGTTGTTGTTGTTGAACATGATGATGGACATTGTTATTGTTAATGATGAGTCAAGATAATTTGATTTGATTTGACAGATAGATTAAATGAATTTTGTAGCAATTTTCAGTGGGAATACAACAAGAAAACGATTGAAATTTCCAAATGAAGCATTAAAAACGGTGGGAATTTACGAACAAAAATAAATTCGCAATCAGCTATTACAATTGTTACCACTATCACTATTATTATTATTATTATTATTATTATTATTGTTATTATTATATTTATTATTATTACCATTATTATGGCGTTTTATCGAGATAAAAAGAATATTTAGATAGCTAATTGCTATATTGTCAACCTTACTGAAGCTTTTAGGTGAGTTTATGAACATTTCTTCATCCTATACGACCATCCATTTATTCAGTGATTCATTTATTTCTATACATATTTATCTATTTACGTACATTAAGCATAATCATTTTATTTAGTTATTATTATTCTTATAAAACGAACTGATAGTAATGCTTATCATATGTAATAGTAATGCCATTACAATGATATACAATACGACTGCTCCACTGATTGCAGAAAACCACAAGAAAATGTTTGCATATTTATATTGATATTTATGTAAACAGTCGCATCATATGACACTTAATATAAAATCAAATAAGTACGAACGATTTGATTTTTGATAAATAACGAAAATAGAAGTGAATAGAGATTTCGTCTGATAGTAGAAATATTCAGATGAAATAAATTATTACCATTTTCATTATTATGGCTATTATTACTGTTGCAATCCTCATCAATGAGGTGCACTTTCTTATAAAGTATTCAGATAGGTGAATATATTATTACGAAACTGAAGAAGTATGGATATATTCAGATAAATACAAATAAAGCTTTAAGACCAGTCTATTGGATGTCGATCAGTTATTTATTATCATAGCAGACAATATTGTTAGTACATAGCAGCTTCACATTTCTGGATTATTGAACCAAATTCAATTAATTTAAATTGAATTGAATTAAACCGATTTATCATTTTCTTGAGATCAAATTGAAGTCATACCGAAATGTTATTATCGTTATTGCTAACAATATTATCAATATCATCATCAATATTATTACCAGTGTTGGGCGCGCTATGGAAGAACGATAGCGCTATCCTGCTACCGAAAAGAAATCCGGTATTCCGCTATCGCTATCGCTACTGCCTACTCTAAAAACCTGATTACGCCACTGAATGTTTTCGAAAATTGAAAATTTTCATTGATGAACACACATTTTTGAAATGAATATGAGAAACGTTATAAAAATAGAATCCACCTCCACATCTGAACCAACAACTACAGAATCAACCACAACATCTGAACCCAATACTACAGAATCCACATCTACACCTGAACCAACTACTACAGATGTTTTTTCTTCGAATCGCTCACAAGAGCTCGGTAGACTCGAATTTAAAGCAGTGTTGCAGCACAAATATAAATTACATATTTTGGGTAATTTGAGGGGTTCAACGGGCAACGGAGAGGATCGGGAAGTCAGTATTTTGTTCAGTTTTATGTTATGATAGAACGCCATCCTATTTTTTTGGATATCATTAGCTCGTCCGGGTCTAACAGGGTTTTCATTCGTTATAACAGGGTTTTCATTGAAATCACATCCATTTGTCAGTAAACGGTGTTTTAACAGGGTTTTCATTCTTCTTCTTGCTACTGCAATCGTTCTCATAGCTTTTATCACCAAAAGTGTTCTCTTTTGCTAATTTCTCATTCATTTCACTCAACAATTAAAGTC